CCTGGGGACTTACACCCAGTCCACTGCAGAGCTGTGCCAGAATGAGTGGTTGGAATTTGCCTTGACCTTTCCAGTTCATTGCTATTCAAAAACTTCAAGGGTGACAGAATTAAGGTGATTTCCTTTGCACTTGTTCCATGAGAGTCTGAGGCAGAGACTCAGACTCCTTCCATGCAGATAACAAATCAAGTTATGTCCCTTAGGCCTGAACACAGAAAAGCACACAGAGCACAAGGAGCAGGCAAATATGGAGCTTTGGCATTTCTGTCTCCAAACAGAACGATTTAAAACTTCCAAAACAGCCAGACAAAAACCATGGAAGAAGCAATTATGATTAGTGTTAAGGTCCATCCATCAGCCACTTTCTGTCCTGACTTTACTTCCCATGGGCATAAGAAATAAAGTCCATTTCTCCAACAGGAAAAAATTCTAGAAAATAGGGGGACAAAAATGGAGTCTTATAGTTGGCTCAAATCCATCAAGATACTTATTAACACTTTTTTTATGTTCCTTGACTCCCCCATCCTTACAATGAGCTGCTTAATAAAGCACCTGGGATCATCTTCCAGGTACAATCTGTACTCAGATTTTATCCAGATTGATGTGTTTACTCAGCACACTGAACTAATTGGAACTTAACTTGCCTAATTTCTGCTTCAGAAACAAATCTGACTTCTTTCAAGGCATTTTAGAGCCTAGTAAAAGATTTTCACTATTTTAATTGGTTAAAAAAGCTCCTGTCCTAAGTAAATTATGTTCCTCTGTGATGCATAATGAATGCAGTGGTGTTCATTGTAATAAACTACCTAGGTCTATAAACTGAATGTTGCTGAAATGAGTTATTTTTTAATTTCAAATTCTTAAATCAAACTCTAGTAGGCCTCCAATTACAGGCTGTCAGATAGAGATTTCAGCATACATCAGTATATTTAAATATCAGAACAAGTCCTGTTACAATTGTCTTTCCATCTGTCGTGGTTTCTGCTGAAAGGTAGAATATTGATTAATGACAAACCAACCTCAGAAACGTTTCTAAAACACACACACTCTCCAAAGGGCATTATCAAGATTTATTTAGAGATTCAGTGACAAGGCAAAGCAGGAGCTCACAGTGTTTCCTAAGCACTGAGTTTTAATTCCCCTGGGGATTCTTGGGAATGCCTTCAGTGTTCCAGGCCTGCTAACAACCCCAGGATATTCCGAATTTCCACCCTGCATGGGCACTGCTTTGTGAGCTGCCAATCACAGGTTTGGGGACTCAAACTCCAAAAGTTATTGGGTCACAGGTGTATCCCAGCTCAGTGGCACCCAGGTACAGCACACCTAGAGCCCAAATCCTACATCCTGCAGCAAATCCACTGTGCTAATAAAGGAATGTGCAGAGAAAAGATGAGCTGAGGTTCTTAATCCCAAAATCCTTTAGATTCTCCAATCTAAGGATTAGCATCAACATCTTCTCCATAAACCCCTGTTGCAGCTGGGCATCAGGTGCTGAGCATTTTAGAATTGCTCTTTTACCCCACACCCATATTTCACTTTTTTAAACTGATAGAGAAGAGCATTTAAGGCAGTATCTATTATATTTATCCCAAAGGATTGTACTTTTTTTTTTTCATTCCAAGGAATTTTACATGAGAATTTTCATTTTTCATCTGTAGCTTTGTAAAGCTGACATTTTGGAGATGTTTGCAAAATAGCTACTTGAAAGCCACTCAAAACTCACACTGTCATATACTTTCTGACATTAATCTCATTTAAATGGAAAAAAAAAAGTCCATTTCAACTTCAAAAAAGTCATTTCATGCAGGAAATATGCAGGGTTTGGGAATATTTTCTGCCTCACAAGGCTCAATCCTAAACTCCTGATGAAATATAGAGAGAGTTTGAGCCATTTTTAATTCCTTTTGGAAAGTTTCCCTCAAATGCACCCATTTAGAAGGTGAGTCACAAGCTAAACTCCCTAGCAGAGCTAGATTTCCTTATAATTTCTCACACCTGAAAAAGCTGTGTCTGTCCATGTGCATGATCCCAAAGATCTTTGTCTTACCTGGCCTCATGCAGGCAAGGGAGGGAACCATAAACCCTTCCACAATGTGGTGCTCAGACACATTTCTGTGTCTCACACACATCCCAGGATTTATTCTGGTTTTATTCTGGACATGGGCAGCAATATTTTTATATTTTATTTTTATATACTTATATATTATTATATTTTATTCTGACTGGGCACCAATACCTGCTACTAAAACTCGCTCATCTCAGTGCCAAGATGTTTGGCAGCTTTTGGTGCTGTTTTTCCTTCAAGTTTTCAGTCATGGTGCAGCCAAGTTTCAGAGTATTTGCTAAATTGAGCACTTATTCCCTTCTCAGGCCCTCTCCCTGCTCATCTTCAGTCATTTTCTACTATGGTGCTGCAAATCTTCTCAGTTCTTTATTCCCCCAGAACAGCCAAGCAGATATTGACAGAAATCTCTACTGCAGACATATGTGTTTTCCATTTTGCTAAATGCAAAAAAGCAGCACTTTAGCTCTGCAGAGCTGAAGTGGTGCTTTAGTTATTGATTTCTATCCAAAATACTCCCCTGGATTTCTCACCAGAGTCCAATCTTCCCAAACAACACATAATTACTTGTTGCAGATAGCACCCCTCCAGTGTGGCTCCAAATCAAATCTGGTTGTGTGAAAAATCCCATACAAAATCCTATCTCCGTATTAAAAAAAAAAAAAATAGATAATTTCACACATAGCCATCTTTTTCTAAGCATTCCCATATTTGCTCAAACTGTTGCATTTGCCCGTTACTTTGAAAAAGAAAAGTACATGAAGGGATTCAGCAAATGTATTGGCCTAATTTGATTTCTTGTTGTAGACCAGAGAAACTCTGCAGAGTTCAGTGAAGTTGTTTTTAATGAATGTCACTATAGGAAGAAGAAGTAGGCCAAGCACAGGTATGTTTTATTAAAGCCTCTGAGCTCCCAGGCACACAGCAGTATTAATAGCACTGGAAAATGATCTGTGAGATTAATTTACAAAAGAAATTTGAAGAAAATATATGGAAAATGTACTACCAAGATTAATTGTCCACACACTAGAAACAGTCATGATTTTCAAGCTGAAAAGCTAAGGACATTTCAAGAGCTATTTTTTAGGGAATGGCATAATAACTTCATAAATAACAAGTAAGTGTAATGATAAATCCAAACTACAAGAGGCCAGAAGTAACAGACATCAGGAAATTGCTTAAAACCCTTAAACTTTCAGAAACTAGATTTGCACTGTTGGATAAAACTCAGTACTGTTTAGGGGTAAAGGAAATAAAAAAGAATTAACTTATTTAGGGGACAAGGGTACAGATTTTACCTGGATCATTAGAGAGTGCCCATGGCAGGGCAGATCTGAAATAAGCTGGTAGATGTGCCTTGATGTACAACTACAAGAGCACAGCAAAATGTGCTTTATCTGCTCCTTGCAGACTCTCTGCCTTTAAAAATATAACCCAAACTTCTTCTCTCATGGTGCAAAGTTATTGTAGTAGTAGCAAAGTTATTGCAGCAAGACAGAACTGAGAAGAGATGATAAAGAGCACATTGGCACTACAGAAGAGTAACAAACCCACAAACTGCAGGAACATTATTTTGACTGTACTGCCTCAAGTTCACTGGCTTTCTGCTGCCAGAAAATGTTGTAACAATTCCATTTTTGCTTTATCCTTGTCTCATTAAAATGAACACTGAAAAGACTTCGCTGCCTAAACTCCTCTGGATCTTGGTCACCATCTCTGTTGTAG